AAAATGACACCAGGATGATGCCTGCAGCTGCAGGCATCATCCTGGTATAACCACTCAAAATCCAGTGATGTACCAGTACGTCACTGGTCCTTGTTGGGTATATATGTTATGTTCTTTTTTTTTATGCAGCCTGTGGGCTGAACGAATGACAGCGGGAGTCACGCGCATGCGGGCTCTAAACCTGGAAGAGCAGAGTGATGTATGGTACGTTGCTTTGCCTGCAGCTACCGCCTGTATGCAGTACATTGTTGGCTGGTGGGCGGGAAACGGTTAACCACTTACATACCTGTATGTCGCCGCCTGTCAAAGGGGTTTGGAGGGCACAGGCGCTTGCCTCCTGCTGACCTGTGCTTTCATTGGCTACAGCACAAGTATGTCAGTAGGTCCCAGCCAATAATTTTGTCCATGAACCTGCTGATCGGCTGTAGCCAATCACAGCACAGCTCTGTGTCTTGTTTTACAAACACAGGTTCTGTCTGTTTTTTTTTTTTCTCTTCCTGAGCCCTTTTCATTCAGGGAGAGAAGAAAGCAGGACCTGTGGCAGTAGAAGCAGCACGTTTACACTTGCATACACCTTGTTAGGTACATTTAACCCTTTGATTGACCTGTAATTAATGTCATTACTGCAGTGTACAGTATGTTTTCACTGATCACAGTATTAGTGTCACAGATAGTGTCAAAGTCAGTTATTCAGTTACCTCCCCTCCAAGCCAGGGTCAGTTTGCACCAGATTGCCCACCACACTATCGCAGTCCCACTGTAAGTCGCTGATCATTGCCATTACTAGTATAGTTTCTGTACGGATCAGTATCTTGTTCATGGTCAGAACTATACTAGTGTCCCCAAGAGTATAGTGTCACCATGTAGATGACATGACATGTAGCAGAATACATTGAGGTCTAAATTTATGAAGAAATTTCATTTTAGTGGAAATGTTTTATAACAGAAAGAAGAAAATTTATTAATTTTTTCAAACTTTTCGGTATTTTTAAACTTATATAATTAAAAAAACTCAGTGGTGATCACATGCCACCAAAAGAAAACTCTAATGTGTGAAAAAAAATTATATACATTTCATCTGCGTACAATGTTGTATTTCCAAACAATTGCCAGTTAAAGTAGCTCAGTGCTGAATAGCAAAAAAATGGACAGGTCATGAAGGGTGTAAAACCTTCTGGTTGTCAAGTGGTTCATTTCCTTGTAGTGAATTTTCTTTTTTCATAAATCCGCTGTGGATCACTCCAAAACAAAAGTTGTCCCACATCAGTCTGATCCGACACAGGTTATGAGTAAGCACTAAATGCAGTGTGAAACGTATCAACTGAGTCTCTCTGTACCCCACTGTGATTGCACTGCTTTTATGAATGTAAAATAATGAAAAACATTTTTCTGTAAAGCAGCTTCAATATAGATGCTGAAATTGTATATTTAGAAGTTTTCCTGGAATTTAGCTTTAAAATGGTTGTAAACCTCTGACATGATATATGAATAAAACATATCCCTCTATAGTGTGTAAGGCAATCTTTTGCTATCAGCAGGAATCATTTCTGACAAGTTTTTCTGACACCCCAAAAAAATAATGTGACAGAGGAGGGACCTCCAGCACTCCAGCGTGCAACCTCTTCATTGGCTGAGACAGCACCGGGAACTATTGGTTCCGCTGCTGTCAATCATAGCCAGTGAGCTAATGAGGAGAAAGAGGGGGCCGGAATGAGCCACAGCTCTGTGTGTCACTGATGTGTGTTGATGAGGCTGCACTGGTGGACATTGATAGGCAGCACTGATGAGCACTGATGAGACAGCACTGATGGGCACGGATAGGTAGCACTGATGGGCACTGATAGGTCGCACTGATGGGCACTGATAGGTTGCACTGATGAAGTTGCACTGGTGGGCATTGATGAGGAGGCACTGATGAGGGTGCACTGATAGGCGGCACTGCTTGGCACTAATAGGCAGCACTGATGGGCACTGATATGTGGCATTGATAGGCAGGACTGATGGGCACTGATAATCATCACTGATAGGCACTGATGAGGCAGCACTGATAGGCTGCACTGATGGGCACTGATAGGCAGGGCTGGTGGGCACTGATAGGCTGCACTGATGAGGTTGCTCTGGTGGGCATTGATGAGGAGGCTGCACTGAAATGCGGCACTGCTTGGTACTGATAGGCAGCACTGATGGGCACTGATAGGCGGCACTGATGGGCACTAATAGGCAGAACTGAAGGGCACTGACTGGAGACACTGATATGTGACACTGATAGGTGGCACTGATGGGCACAGATTGGCAGCACTGCTGTGCACTGATGGGCACTTTTGGGGCTGCACTGACAATCAGTGCCCTGTTTCAATCTTGTCTCCCTTTCCCTTCTTTCCTTACATAATAAATATGTGCATTTGGGATTAATACTGCTTTAGAGGATATCATCGTGACAGTATACAACAGGCCCTGAAATTTCCACTCGCCTGCTTGCCAATGGCACGTGGAAATTATGGTGGGGGGCGAGTGTGTCCCCCAGGGCCGTCTTGCTGAGCAGGCTCGGAGCTCAGGCCAGATCTGTTATCGTCACTGGGAGCCGTCAGACTGCTCAATAGCTGAGTGCAGTGAAAGCAAAGAAAGGAGTGTGTGCTGTGCTCTCTGCCTCCCCCTAGAGTGCAGTACCCGGATCTGTGAGTGAACAACGAAGTACTGCAACTTTTTTTATAGTGTGTGTGTGTACATGTGTGTGTCTGTTTATGCATGTACATGTGTCTGTGTGTGTATGTACATGTGTTTGTATATGTACATGTGTTTGCGTGTATGTACATGTGTCTGTGTGTGTGTGCATGTACATGTATGTATGTGTGTACATGTGTCGTGTGTGTGTGTATGTACATGTGTCTGTGTGTGTATGTACATGTATCTGTGTGTATGCGTGTCTGTACGTGCCTGTGTGTGTATACATGTGTCTGTATGTGCGTGTGTGTACATGTTTCTGTGTGTGTATGTACATGTCTGTGTGTGTGTACAGGTGTCTCAGTTTGTGTGTTTGTTGGTGGAGAGTAACTCTTAAAGCCTGGCTAGTAGCTCAGGACTTGATATTTTAAGCCCTAATACATAACTATATTTGAGAATTGCAAGTTACATATCATTTTCTTTTCAGAAATAAACAGAAGACATTCACAGTGGTGTGCTGTAACTGAGATTTTTTTTTTCATTGCCAGTCCTGGGTGTTAGTCATTATGAAATATTTGCTGACATGGCAGATATCCTCTCAAAGGATAATTCTTTGAAAGCGTTATTAAACTGATATGTAAGAAAACCATCTGCCTCGTGAGATTCATGTGATGGAGATTACAGCCTCCAGCTGATTCAACAAAGTCTACTCGAGATAATAGGGTACAATTATGAGCCAAACAAACCTATGCTTCTGTTAGGAACGAGATAACGGTGTAGAGATGTGCAAGAGAGTCATGCCTGAAGGGCTTATTACAAGGCCCAGGCTGAACATATTTACAGTGGTCATTGTAATGAATTTTAGGCTGCATGTGTGGTCACTGGCTTAATAAAATAGAACACAGCAGCATGCTTCCCTAGTAAAAACACACACACAGCACATAATGTAAAACAGCACACAGTTAACCCTTTGATCACACCAGATGTTAACCCTTCCCTGCCCAGTGTCATTAGTACAGTGTCAGTGCTTTTTATTAGCACAGATCACTGTATTGGTGTCACTGGGGATGTCAGTGGCAGTTAGTCAGTTCCCACCCAGTGTCAGAATGCCTGCCGTAGTCCCGCTACAAGTCGCTGATTGCTGCTATTACTAGCATAGAAAAAAATAAAAATAAAAATTCCAGTATATATACCACCCTTTATAGACGCTATAACTTTCACGTAAATCAATTAATTTACACATATTGGGATTTTGTTTTTAGCAAAGACATGTAGAATACATTTTGGCCTAAATTATGAAGAAATTTTATTTTTTTACTGGAAATGTTTTATAGCAAAAAATAAAAAATATTGCTTTTTTTTCAAAATTGTCAGGCTTTTTTTGTTTATAGCACAAAAAATAAAAACACAGAGATGATCAAATACAAGCAAAAGAAAGCTCTATTTGTGGGAATAAAAGAACATACATTTCATTTATGTACAGCATTGCATGTCCATGCAATTATCAGGGAAAGTAATGCAGCACCGTGTAGCAAATAATGGCCTGGCTAGGAAAGGGGTAAATCCTCTGGAGGGCAAGTGTACACCAGTATATCTGACAGGTTCAGTAGGTGTAATGTTTTTACTGCCAAAGTTGTTTTTGCATTTTTTTGCACTCGTGTTTAAAAAAAAATGTCTTTGGACTGAAAATTATGTAAACTCCCCAAAAAAGGAATATTTTCTGAAAGCAGACACCCTAGACCAGTGATGGCGAACCTTTTTGAGCCCGAGTGCCCAAACTGCAACCCAAAACCAACTTATTTCTTTCAAAGTTCCAACACTGCAATGAAACCTGAATATCGAGCTTTTGGTTTAGAAAAAACAACTCGTACAGTAGTGCAAACTAATTAACAGTACAGGGATGACCAGAGACTGCGGACAGTACAGGGATGACCAGAGACTGCAGACACAGTACAGGGATGACCAGAGACTGCAGACACAGTACAGGGGATGACCAGAGACTGCAGACACAGTACAGGGATGACCAGAGACTGCAGACATAGTACAGGGGATGACCAGAGACTGCGGACACAGTACAGGGATGACCAGAGACTGCGGACACAGTACAGGGATGACCAGAGACTGCGGACACAGTACAGGGATGACCAGAGACTGCGGACACAGTACAGGGATGACCAGAGACTGCAGGACACAGTGCGGACACAGTACAGGGATGACCAGAGACTGCGGACACAGTACAGGGATGACCAGAGACTGCGGACACAGTACAGGGATGACCAGAGACTGCAGACACAGTACAGGAGATGACCAGAGACTGCGGACACAGTACAGGAGATGACCAGAGACTGCAGACATAGTACAGGAGATGACCAGAGACTGCGGACAGTACAGGGGATGACCAGAGACTGCAGACAGTACAGGGATGACCAGAGACTGCGGACACAGTACAGGGATGACCAGAGACTGCGGACAGTACAGGAGATGACCAGAGACTGCGGACACAGTACAGGGATGACCAGAGACTGCGGACACAGTACAGGGATGACCAGAGACTGCGGACAGTACAGGAGATGACCAGAGACTGCGGACAGTACAGGAGATGACCAGAGACTGCGGACAGTACAGGGATGACCAGAGACTGCGGACAGTACAGGGATGACCAGAGACTGCGGACAGTACAGATGACTGCTGACCTTTGGGGAGGGAGGGGGAGCGGGTACCTGAATTTGACAGGTACCCGCTCTTACTTCCGCAGAGTTTTTTTTTTATCTTACCTGTTCCTTTATCCAGCCGCGCGCTGTCTTCCCGGCTTCTGTAGTGTGGGCGCTCGTCGGACAGCCGGATGCCCAGTGCGCATGCGCGAGAAGCGCTGCGCTTTGTGATTGGTCCGGCGGCTTCTGGGATCTGTCATGTGTCCCAGGTACCGCCTTACCATTCACAAAGAGCACTGCTTGCGCATGCGCACTTGGGACCCGGCTGTCACGCACACTACAGAAGCCGGGAAGACAGCGCGCCGCTGGATAGAGGGACAGGTACGGTCCCACTGCAGAGCTGAGCGGCCGGCCCGGTATTCTGACACGGCGGCGGTGGAAATACCGGATCGGCCGCTCTATATTCGCTCCATAAGACGCACTGACATTTTCCCCCCTTTTTTGGGGGAAAAAAAGTGCATCTTATGGAGTGAAAAATACGGTATTCTCCTGGCGTGCCCACAGATAAGGCTCGGCGTTCCGGCTGTGGCACGCGTGCCACGGGTTCGCCATCACTGCCCTAGACCAATGGTGCCCAACCTTTAGACTTTCCTGGGCTACTTTGGAAGAAGAGGAACTGTTTCAGGCCACACATACAAAACTCTAACAATAAGGAGAGCTGATGAGCAGAAAAAGTCAGGCAGATCACAAGATAGCAATCACTGATATAGATAATTGTAATTATCTGAATAATAAAACCTATTTTTTTTTTTATTATAAATGTAGAAGAGGGCAACATAAAACGAGTGTGATATTTGACATCTGGTTCAATGGATGTAGCAGCAATTCTCAGTGAATTCTCAAGGTGCTCATGAGATAAAGGCAGTCCCCGATTTATGAAAAAGATTCTGTAGGTTTGTTCGTAAAGCAGAGTTCCAGTTACATTGAAAAAAAAAATAAAAGTCAGCAGCTAAAAAAATGTAGCTGCTGACTTTTAAAAAACAGCCAATCACCTGTCCCTCGATCCCGCGGTGTCCTCCCCGCAGCCCGTTTCACTGGTTGTCCAGTGTTACCAGCAGGGGCAGACTGACAACTCATGGGGCCCCCGGGCAATAGGGGATCATGGGGCCCCTGTGTCTTTGCCCGAACTCAAAAAAGCCTATGAAAAAGGTACCAGGGGCATCTCATGGGGCCCCCTACTGACACCGGGCCCTTGGGCAGTGCCCAAGTTTCCAAATGGTCAGTCCGCCCCTGGTTGCCAGCGCCGGTGTCTTCAGTGTGGGCACCTAGCTCTGACAGCCTGAGGCTTCACAGCCAGGTGCCCACTGCGCATGCACGAGTAGTGCTGCACTTTTTGACACTTTTCTCATCGCTTTTGGGTCAGTAACAAGAATGATTGACCAGCGAACAGACATTCCCATCAATCTGGAGGCACCTGTGATGTTTATGGGATGGATCAAGATGATGCTCCGTGCCGGCACTGACCAATCAGAATCACTCTGATACATCCCTGCAGAAAGAAGAGGATGGGGGATTTCAAATCCCCGGACCGCTGTACCAACTGTGTGGGACTAACAGCTCATCACAAAGGTAGGTAATTATAAAGGGGCCCGAGAAAGGTGGAATGTGTCAAGGCTGCACAATGTTAGTTCACCTTTTCTTTTTTCCCGTAGGCTGCCGTCCACAACATAGGCTTGGGCTTCACTAATATGGCAACAGCGTTTGTTGTTGTGCCTTTCTTGGTTGATATCGGCCAATGAGTGGCAACTAGAAAGCTGTTTAGAGAGCAGGGCACCTCAGCATGCTAGAGCCTCCTAAAGACATGCCCTTGCTTGAAACGCGTAAGTACAGACCTACATGCTGGCATCCCTCTGCCACTTCCAATTCCAGCTTAATGAGTGCACTTTCTACTGATCATGTTTTTATAAGTTTCATATGCTTTGGGGTGGATATTTTTAACATTTATGAGAATTATTGCTTTTTTAATACATAAAAACATTATATAAAGATTCTCTGTGGCTCCACTGTGCTAAAGTGCTGGGCTGATTGCCCCCTGATGGTGAGGAGGACTGTGGCCTGGAGACACTAAAGGAGAGATGGAGCTGAGTAAGTGCCTTTGCACATGTGTTGCTTTGCTGTCTCCTGTACGCAGCTTAGGAGCTGGTGAGAGGGGGAGGTTGAGGACACATGGAGGTTCAGCATTTTTCATGGTGGTGAAAAATAAAGACAGGACGTCCGTCTTATTTATTTTACTATTACACTTAGTGGTTACATGTGTAGCACTACCCCCTTAGGAGTTGCTGAAGTTTTGGGTCCCTTTATATTCCTGCACAGCCAGGCAACATGCATTTCCACAATAACTTGCATCCAGGAGACAGTAATCAGTCCTTGAGCTTTGTTTCGAAGTTATATTAGGGGATTTGAACTGGGATAGGGTCAGGGGCAGACTGACAATTCATGGGGCCCCCGGGCAATAGGGGATCATGGGGCCCCTGTGTCCTTGCCCACACTCAAAGCACACCCAAAAAAGCCTATAAAAGGTATCAGGGGCATTTTATGGGGCCCCCTACTGACCCTGGGCCCTCGGGCAGTGCCCGAGTGCTCGAATGGTCAGTCCGCCCCTGGATAGGGTTAAAGGTGTACGGAATGCCCAATGGAACTGTAAAACCGATGACAACTTCATGGAACTACTGTATATACAAGCTTTTTACAGCAAAATCCTCTAATTGGAGAGCTAGCCAGTGTCTGCAGTTGTACAACCCCAGATGCTAGATTCTCCTAATCCAGCCAATCTGCATGAATCCCTGAGTAGAGAATCCAGTGCCTGTCACTTCAAAGTAAAGCAGTCCCAGGTAGTCACTAATCTGAATTCCCACCAGAGTGCTTCTTCTCCTATCTGGCACAGGGGTGCAGGTTTACTCACTTAGTCCTTCTCCTGTGTTGCTGGTGGGTTAGTGGCTGCTACCAGGCCTTCTAGATGGACCGCTCCATCCCTGCCACACAGGTGGTCCTCTCTCTAGGGGCCGGTGAAGTCACACATTTTCCTCATTCCAAGATTTCTGCATGGAGGCGAACCCCTCTCCATTTGGGCTCCCTCCCAGGCTCCTTCTCTCCAGCCTCACTTTCTCATCTTCCATCTGAACTCTCCTACAACTCTCCTGCTACTGAGCAGGCTTAGTTACTCTTAAGGGCTGTCCTGGCCCTTTTCCAAACCTCCTGTTATGGATTGTCCAGGATCCTCTAAGAGTACAGACCAGCCACTCCTCACCCCTGCCCACTGCTTCTAGATCTTTTTCCAAAGTTCTAGAGCAGAGAGGTAAATCCCAAAGAGCTGGTCTGCAGAGCCTCTCAGGTCTGACCTAAATTTGACCCACCTGGCTATTACACCCGGGCCGCTACTCAGCCTCCTGACTAGCAATTAGAGTTAGAGCTCCCCCTAGCTACCTAGAAGGGTGCTACACACAAGTATGCATTACTATATGCTTGTATGATTATTCAGGTATATACACATTTTTTGTTTGTGATTTTACTCACTATGCTGTGCCCTCCAGCACTCAGTGGGGTTGATTTACTAAAGGGAACTAGGCTTTTCACTTTGCAGAGGACGTTTCCTCAGAGCTTAATGAAATGTCACTTTTGCAAAGAATACCCAATCACATGCAGGGAAAATAAAAAACAACATTTTTTGCTTGCACATGGTTGGATAATGGACATCAGCAAAGCATCATCTTATTCACTAAGCTCTGGGGGAAAACTCCCATACAAAGTGAATAGTTCATTTGCCTTTAGTAAATCAACCAGAATGTGTGCGTATCTGGGTAGTAACATAAAATAAAACATGGCACCTGCCCCGGTCTATAACTGGCTTATGAAGCAAGGACTACGTGAACTAGGAAAAGAGAAGGAGAAGGAGAAGGAGAAGGATGAGAAGAAGGAGAAGGATGAGAAGAAGGAGAAGGAGAAGGATGAGAGAAGAAGGAGAAGGAGAAGGATGAGAAGAAGGTGAAGGAGAAGGATGAGAAGGAGAAGGATGAGAACAAGGAGAAGGATGAGAAGATAGGAGAAGAAGGATGGAAGAAGAAAGAGAAGGATGGAGAAGGAGAAGGATGAGAAGAAGGAGAAGGATGAGAAGAAGGAGAAGGAGAAGGATGAGAAGAAGGAGAAGGAGAAGGATGAGGAGAAGAAGGAACGAGAAGAAGGAGAAGGATGAGAAGAAGGAGAATGAGAGAAGGATTGAGAAGAAGGAGAAGGAGAAAGGATAGAAGAAGGAGAAGGATGAGAAGAAGGATGAGAGAAGAGAAGAAGGAGAAGTGGTGAAAGAAGGAGAAGGAGAAGGATGAAGAAGAAGGAGAAGGATGAGAACGAAGGATGAGAAGGATGAGAAGAAAGGACTATGAAAGGGGAAGAAGGAGAAGACAAGAGAATAAGGAGAAGGAGAGAAGGACAGAATGAGAAGAAGAAGGAGGAAAGGAGAAGCAGAAGGAGAAGGATGAGGAGAAGGGAAAAGGATACAGGAATGAGAAATGGAGAAGGAGAAAGGATGAGAAAAAGGAGAAGGAATGAGAAGAAGATAGAGACAAGGAAATTAAGGAGATAAGAAGGAGAAGGATGAGAAGAAGGAGAAGGAAAGAGAAGAAGGATAGATAAGAAGAAAGGAGTTGAGAAGAAGGGAGAAGGAAGAAAGAACGAAGGAGAAGGATGCAGAATAGAAGGAAAGGATGTTAGGATGAGAAGAATGAGAAGGATGAGACAGAAGGAGAAGGATGAGAAGAAGTTGAGACAGAGGAAAGGATGAGAAGAAGGAGAAGGAGAAGGACACAGGAGAAGGAGAAGGATGAGAAGAAGGAGAAGGTATAGAATAAAAGGAGAAGGGATAAGAAGAAGGAAAGGACTGAGGAAGAAGGAGAAGGAAGAGAAGAAAGGCAGGGATAGAAAAGGAAGAAGGAGAAGGAAGGAAAGAAGTAGAAGGAGAAGGATAAAG